TGGTTGGGGCATAAATTTGAATAACAGTCATATTAACGGGTCTTCCTTGTAGGCGTATGGATATTATCCTATCACTGACAGCATTGTATTTCAGGACAATCTTGAAACATCGTTTGTGATGATAAATGCCACACCATTCCTTTTCAAACTTGGTATTGCCATATTTGTTATTTTTACCAGTCTAAACTCAATCTACTTCCATAAAGATTTACCACCTTGGAAACCCAAAGGGGGTCATCACTATGAGCTGGAATCGATTCGATGGAAGTGGGTTCGGTTTTTTTTTTTTTTTTGGTTTAAACTCAAACCAAACTCACTGCCATTGAGCTGATTCTGACTCACAGTGACCTCCACCCCAAGTGGGTTTCCAAAGCTGTAAAACTTTATGGAAGCAGAATGCCTTGCCTTTCTTCTGCAGAGAGGGTGGTGGGTTCAAACCACTGACCTTTTGATTAGCAGGCAAATGCTTTAACCACTATACCACCAGAGCTCCTTTTTTTTTTTTTTTTTTTACCAGTCTAGGAGATATGAAATGAAATTGCATCAATGTAATTTTAATTTGCATTTTCCTGATTACTAAGAAGACCAACAACCTTTTATATAACTGGCCATTTTAGTTTCCTCTTCTGTAATTTGAGAGTTAAGATTACAAAGTTTTCTCCCTCTTTAATTGAAGCGGAAAAAAAGTAGAAAAACTAGACTTTCAAACTAACAATGGTAAACAAATATTCTAAAAACACAAAAATCCTATGAAACATACTTCAGATTCATATTACCATTCCATTAAATGGGAATAAGATGGGGACGATGAAAGGATAAAAGGAAAAAAAAAAGAGTTAACAGTAAGAAGGGAGAGAGAAAACCAAAGAGTATGTTTGTAATACAGAAAAAAGAAAAGTAGTAAGTATAAATAGCCTCAGTAGCTAACCTTTTGTTTTCATCTAATTTTAACTTAAAGTGCAACTCTGTTCTGAAAACTGTTTTTCCGGACATCATTAGCAGCTCAACTAGGAAAAGCTGTAGACAATAGCACTGGGTAGTGAAGACAGATTATTCTTGTGTTACAACATAGTCTGGGCTCAAAGTAACCATCTACTAATTTAGCCAACTAATAGCCTGAGTCCAAGTCTGATTCATTAGTGAAATGCTATAATATATAGTGTATTTATTTTACTTAGTAAGCATTTGTTATATGGTCAATACTCTGATACTTAAATTAGTGCACATTTTCTACTCTTAGCCCAGGCTCTTAAAAAATAAACACCATTTAAAATTTTTATTTTCTCAAGCACCAGAACAAACAAATGTGCATTATTTTCATTACCATTTCTACATTAAATGTGAATATTTCTTATACTAAATGAGGGGGGAAAACCCCTAAGCTTTCTTCTGTGAAGAAAAAACTGAGTCTGAAAGGCTATATGAAAAATCAGAGCGCTTACCTTACTGACACCAACTTCAGGGATTCGAAGAGTATGCTCCATATCTTTTTCTCTGCAGAGTTAAGTAAAGTGTGTTTACTAATTGGGGGGGGGGGGGGCATACACAAATGAAGCATTTACAGAATTGACATGGAAAGAATTTTAAAAACAGATTATGTTAAAATGCAAGTCTCTCTACTGTGGAGAGTCTTTTGGTGATGGATTATCTAGTTCTCATAATCCTATTTGAACTTCCCTGTCTGAAAGGGTGTTTCATCTAGCTCATAACTAATCAGTAACCAATGGACATAAAATGTCCTTTGTATCAACTTCAGTCATTTACCCAGGTCTGTCAAATATGTTTCTATTTCTATTATTACACGGATTACACACATGTGAAAGGAGCATATTTTCAAGAATTTAAAATTAAGACATTTTGTAGATCTGAACTAAGAATAGATTAGATTTATCTTTCCCACTGGGAAAAAACGAATGATCTTATTCATGATTAAAGCTTACTTCCCTATCAAACTGGTTGTAAGTTACAAAGGGAAAGGAAAAGAAGCCAAGATTGGATTTATGCCTGAAAAGAGCAGAATGAAAGGTAAGAAAATGACCATAATCTCTGTGAAAGGTATCACCAAGTTTTATCTTCTTATATAGACAGGTTTCCATGTAGGGACTATAAAGACATATACTAAATTGACTTCCAAAAGCAACTGACAAAAGACAGCAGTCAACAATATTTTATGAGTGGGTGAGGGAGGAACAAGGATGTCACTGTTAGTTTTTGCCTTTTCAATAAGTATCAAGCACATTTCATGGTAACTGCTTAAGAAACTTAACAATTAATTCATTGGAAGGATAAAACAAATAGGCAAATAGCCAAATTAATACAATAAGCCATTTATGAAAGATACAAAGATGGTGTCTGCAGAATTCAGAGGAAATGAAGGAAGATGAATATATGAAAATGAGAATAATTAAATCAGTGCCTACCACTTGATAAAGCTCCTTAGTTTGTTTCAAACTATCAATATTATCAAGTAGATAATACTATCCCCAAATAACAGATGAGGAAAATGAGATTTAGTTTCTGACCTTGAGTCTGAAATGTCAAAAAAAAAGGTGGTACTAGAGCTAGACCTTCAAGGCTGAGTGCAAAGATGAACAGAACTTTGCAAAGCAGCTTTGAGGAAAAAGATTCCATGCAGGAGAAATGCCAAGAACAGGTACACAGGCAATAAAGTACAAGATCTGATAAAGAAACAATAAACAATACAATGAGTCTGGAGCTCGAGCTTCATGTAAATCAGGGGCTGACAAACGGGCACCTGTGTGTCAAACAATGCCAGACCTATTTTTATAAACAAAGCTTTTTTGGGAAACAGACATGCCCATTCATTACATATTGTCTACTCGGTCCTCTAGAAGCTCTGGTAGTGTAATGCCTAAGGCACTTGACTGCTAAGCAGAAGGCTGGCGGATCAAATCCACCAGCCACTCCTCGGAAGGAAGGTTGGGCAATCTACCTCCACAGTGATACCACCTCGGAAACCCTAGGAGGTTTGTGACAATTCTACTCTGGTCCAACTTGACAGCACATTATGACAACAACAACACTTGGCCCTTTAAGATAAATTTTTCTGATCCTTGATACAGATGATAAAAGTCTAGAAAGATATGTTGAAGCCAAAGCATAGAGAGCCTTGAATGCAGGTTAAAGAAGTTAAAAATTACATACCAGGTTATATAAAATCACTGAATGACTTTGAACGAACACACAAGGGCTGTGTTTATATCAAGAGGAATCTGGTAGAACTACTTGAGATGAACTAATCAAAGGGAAATGAGGACAGAAGGACCGGTTAGGAAGTTACTACAGGAGTCCATTCAAAGGGCTAAAACCCACAGCTACCGAGTCGATTACAACTTATAGCAACCCTATGGGACAGAGTAGAATTGTCACAAAAAGTTTCCAAGGCTGTAAATGTTTATTTATGGAAGCAGATTGCTTCATCTTTCTCCCACAGAGCGCTGGCAGGTTCAGAGTGATGGCCTTTTTGGTAAGCAGTCAAATGTTTTAACCACTATGCCACCAGAGCTCCCTCAAATGGCTAAAGAGAAGCTCAAATAGGATGGCCAACAGGGACAGAAAGTAAGCAAATGAGAGAGATTTTAGCAGCAGAATCAGTAATGTTGTGACTAGTTGTAGGGGGGGTTTAATAAAAGGAAATGAGTCAAAGTTGATTGATAGGAGATCGTACATGTATTTCACCTTGAATGACAATTCTAATAAATGGAAAAAAATAAATAAATAACAGCTGCCTGCAGTACAGAATGTTGACTACATGTAAATGCTGGCTTATATGCAAATCATTATTAAGACTTTATACTGTGGGTTGGACAATGAATACAGAAGATTGAAGGAGTTGATGCTTTTGAGTTGTGGTGTTGGCAAAGAATACTGAAAGTACCATGTACTGCCAGAAGAACCAAAAAATCTGTCCTGGAAGAAGCATGGCCAGAATGCTCCTTGGAAGTAAGAATGGCCAGAGGTCATCTCACCTACTTTGGTCATATCTCGGAAGGAACCATTCCCTGGAGAAGGATATCATGCTTGGTGAAGTTGAGGGTCAACAAAAAAGTGTAATGGCCTCAATGAGATGGACTGACACAGTGGCTGCAACGACGGGCTCAGGTATAGCATGGACCCTTAAGCTGGCACAGGACTGAGCAGTGTTTTCCTCTGTTGAACATGGGGTCCTTTTGAGTTGGAGTGACTTGATGGCACCTAACCACAACATACTGTAGGTCTGAAATTCAACAAAGAAGTTGAAGCTGAGATAAAATTTAGGGGTCTCATTCACAGAGATAAATAGATGATATATATATATATATATATATATATATATATATATACACGGTCGACAAAAGAGGGGGAGGCCTTCAAGGAGATGGATTGATATGGTGGCTGCGATGATGGGCTCAGGTATAGCAGGGATTGTGGGGCTGGCGCAGGATCGGGCAGTGTTTCGTTCTGCTGTGCATGGAGTTGCTATGAGTCGGAAACGACTCGACGGCACTTAACAACAACAACAAAACAACAACAACAAACACACACACATATATATCATCTATCTCTCTATATGAATATATATAAAGAAAGGAATAAAGAGAAAGGAAGTTCATATTGTCTCCCTGCTCCAAAGTGAAGCAGAGAGCTTTTTTTATTTTTAAAAAAGTAATTAGGTTATCATTCTTCAGTTTAAAACACCCTTTAATGCCACTATGATACTTAAGGGATAAAATCTACATTATTCATATGGTCTTTTACAACCTATGCCCAGCCCATCTTTCCAGCTTCATCTTCATGTATTATTTCAGACATGCCCTAGATTGCAGTCACATCAAACTATTCATGATATACCTTTATATGCCATACCTTCTTTATATGACATACCTTCCAGTTCCCTATATATGATGTGCTTTTGTGTCAATGTACCTTTACACAAGCTCCTGCTGCCTCAAAACAAGTTACCCTTCAAGATGCTGTTCTATCATCATCTCTTAGTTTTCCCAGTTACCACCATTCCCAACAACCAACCCATGATTCTTCACATGTGAACCCATGAACACTCTATGTATGCTTCTATTCCAGTACTTTCAGACAGTAATTATTTAACATGTCTCTCCCTTCACATTGTGCTTTCTGTGTGCAGCGATCATGCCTTAGCCCTCTTTGTATCCCTACATGTTTAACAATACTTGACAAAGAGATGGTCATTAAAGTCTTTTTAAAAGAACGATCTAGTAATATGAACCATGCTTACCTTCCAATTGTAGCAGGGTTTACAGCTGTAATGATAAAAAGTGATCCTATCTGCAGCACTGGTGATCTAATAACAATTACTCTGATACATGGGGGCCAAATTTTATCTTCATCTGCCAGAGAAAGAAGTGGGTAAACATTAATTAAAATGTTATGCTGAAAAAATAAAATGTTATGAAAAAAAAAAATCTTTACTCTTTAGGGGTAAAAAGGAGGCATCCCTAAGAGGCAAAAAATATAGATAGATAGATCAAAAATTTTGAGTAAAATAAACTTCTTAAGGTGCTCTGGTGGCATAGTGCCTAAGGCACTTGACTGCCAACCAGAAGGCTGGCAGTTCAAACCCACCAGCCACTCCTTCTTCCGTAGTGATACTGTCTCAGAAACCCAAGGAGGGGTTGCTAGGAGTCGAACTGACTTGACAGCAGTGAGTTGTTTTTGTTTTAAACTTCTGAAATTCTGTGATATGTTCTACACAATGAGTAAGGCTTAACATTGTAGCAGTTTAAGTGAACAATCTAAAGGTATTGACTACCACAGTTATGTAACAACCACCTCTCTATTTTTGAAGGTCTTAGAATCTGAGAACACCTCACTTATATGTCATTTCATGTTATAAAACTTGAGACTATTCTTTACAAAAAATGAAAACTCAATTTTATTAAGAACAAAAGAAACATATATATATACAATACAAAATTGCAGTTTCTAAAAATTTTATCTTTATATCCTCAAGGAAAAAAAATTATTAGATTTGCCATAATACCTATGAAGCTGAATTCACAAACCTCATTTTTTAAAGACAACTAACCTCCCATGGAGCTCTGGTGGTGCAGTGGTCAAGCACTTCACTGCTAACCAAAAGGTCAGTAGTTCAATCCCATCAGCTGCTCCGTGGAAGAAATGTATGGCAGTCTGCTTCCATAAAGATTACAGCCTTGGTAATTCTATGGGACAGTTCTGCTCTGTCCTACAGAGTTGCTATGAGACAGAATCAACTCAATGGAAATGAATTTGGTTTTCTGGTTTAACCTCTTCTCTCTGCAGTTACAAACCCCAAACCCACTGCCACTGAGTTGATTCTGACTCATAGTGACTCTATGGGAGGACAGAGCAAAACTGCCCCATTAAGGTTGTAAATCTTATGTAAATCTTATCCCAAGGTTGTAAATCTTTATGGAAGCAGACTGACTCATCTTTCTCCTACGGAGGAGTTGGTGGGTTCAAATTGCCAACCTTTTGGTTAGCAGCTGAATGCTTTAATCACTGTACCACCAAAGCTCTTTCCCAATTACAGAAGTGGATTATCTGACCCACTAAAGCATATTTATCAGTATGTACACTTTAGGATTAGAACATTGGTAGCCTGGTTTTATGTTCTACTGGCTAGGCCATTTAATGCAATAAAACTTTCTTTAGGTCCAAGTATTAGTCTATGTTCTTACCTTACTTTCTAAAAATAAATGAGTGGCAGACCACAAAATTTTCAGTGTCATTAAAATAAGCAGGTTAAAACTGTTCTCAATGAAGTTACTTTTTACTGTAGATATGCTACATGAGTCACTAACGTTTTTTAACTGCTCTGCTCTTTGACAATGTGGTGTAGTGAATTACTTGGTATGGCTTTTCTAACCAGTCTTTGTGACCCAGATTACTGGGTGGGACCAAGCAAATAAGGTGTATGGAACTCTAATGTGGGAATTGGTTAGGTTTGCCATTCTGCTAGGCTTAAAATGAGCCCTCCTAGATGCAGCAGGGGGATCTCACTGCCATCAAGGGTGAAGAGCTGGAGGTGGAATGGAGGACGTCCTTTGACGCAAGAGCCCTGCGCTGAACCTCCTTGGCAGAAAGACAGGAGAGACAACGGGCTGAGGAACCAAGAGGCATGAGACAGAGGAGGGGGCTTGCTAGCTCATGGAAGGAGAAAGCCGAATGCCTTTTAGCAGGAGGCTTGCTGGCAGAATGGGGTGTACCTAGATGTGCGTATCAGGAGAGATAAAAGAGCTCTTCAATACTTGCCCAACCAGGGCAGAGGCCAGGCCAAGAGGTCAAGGGCCAGAGAGGAGTATCTGAGGGTATAACCAAGGGGAGACTGTCCTGATTGAAGATTTTTATTTTGAGAGCATTCCTGAACCTGAACTGTAACCTGTTACTTGCCTAATAAACCCCATAATTGAAAGTATTGTCTGTGAGTTCTGTGTAGCCACTGCAACGAATTACTGAACCCAAAAGAGAAGTAGTGAGTGCTGTGGGATGGTCAGTGTCAGAGTTGGTAAACAGTATGGAGGACAGTGGCATGTCTGGCCTCATAGGAATAAAAGCCTTGGGCTGCTGGTGATTCTCTCCCCACCTTGTGAAATTAGAGGCAGTGAGAAGATACTGCCTCCATGCCCTTTTTGCAGACAATTACCAGACTGAATTATTTATTTAAAATTGCATATGGTTATTTACTTACCTTCATCCTCAGTGTCTCCTGCACTCACACTATCTTCACTGGTAATGTCTTCATCGTAACTGTCCTCAGCCTGAGAGTCTGTAATTTCCCCTTCTTCTGGCTCACTATCAGTCTCTATGATTTTCTCATCTTTAAATGAAGTTGAATTACAAGTATTTTCACTAAAAGGAGAATCTATACGGTTTCCAGTAACTGGTATAGTGAATTTTGGGGAATAATTTTTGTAATAAATATCTCTTTTGGCCTTCTTTTTCACATTTGCAAAATCTTCTTCCTCACTACATCTTGTATGTTCAACACTGGATGCTTTTTGATCTTCTAAATTCAAATCCTGGAAGGGGAGGGGATAGGTGGGAACAGGAGAGAATCATTTTAAACCTCACCATTTTATAATACTTAATTTGAACTGTTATAATATATTAGGGAAAAAGGTTTAGGGAATAGAATGATTAAGCATGTTTGTAGTGGTTTTAAAACATTCTCACAAATTCTTTTGACACATCTCTCATAGAAAGGTGGGGTCTATATCACCTCTCTCCATAAGCCTGGGCCAGCTGACCTTGGTGACTCAAATGGAACAGAAATGATGCTGCATAACATTCTGGGCTAAGTTAGGAAATGCTATGCCACTTCTGCTTGGTTCCTCTGGGATGCTTACCTGGAGGAAATAAGGTACCAAGAAGCCTGGCTACCCTGAGACTGTCATGTGTGAGAGGCCACACGTAAGCCCACCGACTGACAGTACAGCTGGGCTCTTAGCAACAGCCAACATCATCTGCCAGTCATTTGAGGGAACCCTCTTGGACATCCAGTGCAACTGTGCCTTCAGGGACAGCAATCCCAGCTGATATCTGCCTACAACCACATGAAACCCTTCTCAAGTAAGAACTGCCAGAATTCCTGACCAAGAAAATGAAGCCAACTCATTAATAACTGTTGTTAAGCTGCTAGAAGCTCTGGTGGCATAGTGCCTAGGGCATCTGACTGCTAACCAATGGCAGTTCAAACCCACCAGCCACTCCTAAGAAGGAAGACTGGACAATCTACTGCCGTAGAGATACCACCTTGGAAACCCAAGGAGGGGTCACTATGAGTTGAATCAACTCAACAGCAGTGAGTTTGGTTTGGTTTTGGTTAAGCTACTAAACAACATGGTTTTCAAAAAATAAATTTTAATATTTTTTGAAGGTATCTTAATATTTACAACACTAAGGTACTACTGTTATAGTGAAATGAACCAGTACCAGTTGCCATCAAGCCAATTCCAACTCATGGTGACCCCATGTGTATTAGAGAAGAGCTGTGCTCCATAGGTTTTTCAACACTGATCTTTTAGAAACAGATCACCAGGCCTTTCTTTCAAAGTGCTTCTGAGTGGACATGAACTTCCAAATTAGTAGCTGAACACATTAACTCTTTATAACACCTAGGGACTCCACAGTGAAATAGTAATTTAATAAATGGCACCCTAGGAATGAGGCAACATACCCTAATAAAGAGCAATTACCTAAATACTCATGAAGCCTAGAAAAAACATCCTTCAGAGGATAAATGCTAAAATAAAATACAACCTATGTTTGATATAATCCAACTAAGACTGGTTAAGTCTTTACTTTTTGTAATTCATGACTTGATATTGCTATACTCTGTAGAATTTATTTTTGCTGTTAATGTCCTCAAGTTTGAAACATACACAAAATCTTAAACTAGGAATTTTTGTTCAAAAGTAATTCATTTAAATGTATACAGCTGCTACACCTGTTACATCAAGACACTGACATTTTAGTTTTCTGAACGTCTAGATTGATCAAAAGGTAAAAAAATCATTTTTCTTATTCAGTAATTTGTTTTTGTGTCATGAAGCTCAACAGGGCTTTATAGACCCATTAATCACACAATTCTCTAAGGAGGAAACAATCATTATCCTTGTTTTATAAGAAAATGAAACCAAACAGAAAAGATGAATTAAGTTCTGTAACTGGGTCAAGTTAAGGTCTGCTGAATATGGTAAATGATTAAAATAATCTCTTAGTTTTGTGCCGTAAACTTTCACACCTTTCAATTTCCTATAAAATAAGAGCAACAAATTTCTTTCCAAAAAGATCAAGCATAAGATTTATTTAATTTACTTGCATAAAACAGATAGCCACTGACACCTACAATGATTACAGTATCAAAAGTTAATTTCTAAAATATTAAAGCTAAAAACAATTAAGCTTTTCAGCCATAAAAGAAGTTGATTTCATCTTCTCTCAATCTGTATATTCAAGGAGTGTATTTTCTTGATAAGAGAATGTTTTGCCTTTCTAGACTATTAACACTATATACATTGCTTAAATAAATAATATTCTTAAAAACAAAAAAGGTGATCTACACAAATGGAAGACAATAACAATGCTCGTGGACAGGAAGACTGAATATCGTAAAAACATAAATACTAACCATAGCAATCTATACATTCAATGTAATCCCAATCCAGATCCTATCAGCATTCTTTAAGGATATGGAAAAACAAATCACTAATTTTATATGGAAAGGAAGAGACTTGAATAAGCAAAGCACGAAAGAAGAAGAAAGGAGGTCTCATATTCTCAGATCTCAAAACCTACTATACAGCCATAATAGTCAAAAGAGCCTGGTATTGGTATGGCAGATACACAGACAAGTGGAATAGAATTGAGAACCCAGAAACAGATCCACTGACCTATGTTCAGCTGATTTTTGACAAAGGGCTGAAATCCATTAAATGGGAAAGAGGTGGTCTCTTTAATAAATGGTACTCTCAAAACTGGATATCCATTTGCAGAAAAATTAAACACCATACTCAAAAACTAACTTCAGATGCATCAAAGACAGGAAACCTAAAACTATAAAGTTCCTCAAAGAAAACACGGGCAAATTTAGGGGAGCTCTGGTAGCATAGTGGCTAAGTCACTTGCCTGCTAACCAGACGGCTGGCGGTTCAAACCC